ATCTGCAATGAATTACTACTGAATCCCGGCCAACCATTTTCTGGTAACATTAGAACTTGGCTGTAGTCCAGAGCCTGACTCCTAGACAGGCACAGCTAAGCTCTGACAGGAGTTTAAGATACAACGGGAGACGCCTGAGACTGAAACAAGTTTGGGGAGATACAGCAGCAGCAACATCTGTGCCCAGGAATCAGGTTAATTCTCTACCAGAAAAGATCCATATGAACAATGCCGTATCCCAGCCCTATGAGGTGAGATAACCAAAAGACAAAGTGGCTGAAGGGCATCAAGTAGTAATCATCCATAGTCCATAACCATCCTCCTCTCTTGGTCAAGCTTTCCTCATAGAAGCATTTCTTTTTCAGCCTTTTTTTTTTTTTTTTGGTATAAATTCAAACAATGGGAACCCATTTCTTCTCAATAAATATTACAGAAGCAGAAAAACAGTTGTAAGTAGATGATCTTTACTTTACAGCAGTGATGGGCAAACTGCTACAGACAGAGCTTCTTTTCTAAAATCCTGCCTGCTTCCCCCAACCACAGTAACACTGGCAAAATCGGTCAGCAAAATGCCAAAAATCAGTTGTGCAATTGGTTTTGCTACAGGGCTTTTCTATGTAAACAAAAAGCAAAATATGTGAACTAAACCTATAAAGAATGAGACTCAGTTTGGTCTAGTGGTTAAGTCACCAGGCTAGAAAACCTAGCCACCAGGCTAGGAGACTGCCTTAAGCACAAAGCCAGCTGGGTGGCTTTGGGCCACTTGTTTTCTTTCAGCCGTAGGAAGGAGGCAAGGGCAAACCACTTCCGAAAATGTTGCCAAGAAAACTGAACAGACTTGTCCAGGCAGTCACACACGCACACACAAGTTTATAACAGGCTGAAGGCATCTATTTTGCTTTAAAATAAACCCACTTGACCCCACATTTGCCTGCCCCAGAGATATCAGCATCTCAACACTATATGTCCTGTGGCTGCTAAGGCAAATTAAAAAGAGAGACAGAGAGAGAGAGGGGCCATGGCTGCAGAGAGGTTGCCCTTTCCTGCTTTCGAGGCTAGGGAGTGATTCAATCTTTGGATGATTTCTTCACACTGGATATTAAACTTCGGAAGTTCTATTTGAAATCAACTGCTGGCAGTTCCACAAAACAAGTTATGTGACTTCACAGAAGGACTGAATGATGCTATAGCTCTACATGAAGCAAAAACTGATCAACTAGACTAGTGTTTTTCAAACTTGGCAACTTCAAGATGTGTGGACTTCAACTCCCAGAATTCCCCAGGGGAATTCTGAGGAGTTGAAGTTGCCAAGTATGAAAAACACTGGAAAAACTGCAGACTAGACAATTCCATTCAGACTGCGGCTCATTTTAGTTCTCCGCATGCCAAGGAAAGGGCCAAGTTAGAGCCACCTCTCTTATGGTGCTCAGTTCCTTCCTGCATGGAAGGATTTTTTAATGTAAAGAAATAGAATGTGAACTAGTGTGCAGACTTCTTTACGGATGTGCAGGGGTGTCTATGGGGCATGGTCAGAAAGGTCAAGATGGCAGCTGCAGAGGCGGAATCAAAGCTCTCCCTGTTTTTTAATGCATTGCATGTAGAACTGGAACTTTGAATGCATCATTGTAACTGCCACCTTGACTTTTTTTTACTATACCCTGCTAGGTATCCCATTCTACCAGGCAGGCTGAGATGTGAACGCACTGGTGCAAGAAGAGGAAATGAGAGTATGTTTTAACCTTGAACTATAGTAAACTACATTATTTTGCCAGAACTTCTGCTACAATGGGTTTTCTGTAGGAACTAGAGTAAATCCTTTGATTTCTTTGACACCTAATTTCCTTTTCAGACAAATGGAATACTATGAAGCCCCACCTTAATAGAAAATGGAAGTTGAGGATGTCTATAAGCTACTGAATTCATACATCCAAAGTCCTGCTAAATCTATAGTAAGAGTTTGAGATGCTCTACCGATCACATATTCCATGTCATCCACAGTAGTCCACAAATGTTTGGCACAAAATCCCTTAGAAGTTGTTCTGAGCATGTTGTCCTGAAGTCCCATAATTTATACCCATTCCAGGCTTTGCAATATTTGCAACCATGGCTTGTTTGGTTGCAACTCACCTTCTCTTGCACAGTGACACGCCACAGTTGGCCATCCAATAACCTTGTTATCACAGTTGCCCTCTGAGTATAGTCACACTTTTCTTTACCTGCTGCTAGTTTGGGCAGCACTCAGGGAGCAGTCCATCTGCTCCTAACTCTCTGGATGTGGCAGCAAGGACCAGGTCTACTGCTATGTGAATAAATATTTGCCTTTTCACATCCCTGTTCAAGGTCAGCAGCCATCAAGCGCCTCTGTCAACGTGCAATTACTCCAAATTCCAGCCTGATTAACGGCTGGGTTCCTTTGTCTTGGAAAAAGCCAGCTGCTTAACCCTTCAGAGGTCAGCTACATGCAAAGCACTGGTCCTAAGAGAGGTTGCATAGAGGTGCACAATACTGAATGAGTTAACTGCTTGAGGAAGCATCTGAAGCTGATTTGTCAGTAAGAATAAATTGAGGACTTCCCTTTTATTACAGGGAGACATTACAGAGCCAGGTACAGCCCCAGCCCAGCGCAGAGCAGGCGGCATTAAGTCTGGGGCGAAGGGGGATCCTATCAAATCCTTTGCTACGGCACAATAATGAAATGCCTTCATATGCAGACAGGATGCCCTCCTTCAGTTCTCCAAGATTGAGGAGTTATTTGGGAAAGCAAAGCAGCAGACTTTAGCTGTCCCAGGTCACTCTACTTGTTCAACAGAGGCTTCAGGTTTGTCCAGTTTCTGTTGTTAGAAGAATCCAATGCAGTTTATTGACATAACATCAGAGATGGACTTTAAGAGAACAAAGAAACAGCCCTGGAATTTTTATGCTCTGCCAACTTGGTTTAAATTTACAAAGAAGAACTGCAAATTCAGGATGTCTCAGTAGTTTAGGAATATCTGATCTAAACCATCCCTTCACCATACCCCTTCCTTAAGAAACCAAGAATTGCCCCTTTGAATCAGTCTAATACTACCAGATATTAAGTGGTCTATTAATATTAATCATTGGCATAATCTACCCTCTGCTAACCCTAGTCATTCAAACAGAGGAGCTCATGCTGCTAAACATCATAGCGTAAGAATGTTCTCCCAGGGGAAGCTTGCCTGGTGCCTATGTTGCGTTCCTCTTGGTGCCAGGCTGGGAATGTTTGGGTTCTCCCACGCCATTTAAGACTTGCTATTTCAATTCCAATAAAATGAATGATGGTTTTAGGATTATTTTTTAAAGAAAAGGTTTACTGCTTTTATTGCAATACTATTCTGTTTTTAATCTGGTTTTGTATGATGCCTAAGGAAGTAGTTTTACTACTACTGCTACTGCAACTACTACTACTACTAATAATAGATATCATACTGGACAACTTTTGATCGGGATAACTTGAACATGAGCAGAATAATAACTGGATTGTGTTATTAGTCATACATTTGGGATTTCCTGGTTTTAAGAGTGTGGAAATGCAGTTGGTTGAAGCAGTTTAAATTTTGACAGCTGCCTCACAGTATTTCTCTTCATTGTAAGCATTTGATATTATTGTCTTGCAATATTGTTATTTTGCAATGTAACATTGGGAAATAATAGCCAGAGATACAAGTCTTTGATTTCTAGGCTGCTTCATACCATGTGTGTTCATGTACATCTCATGATGAAACTTGGATTACAATGTCTGAGCTCCAAAAATCCATCCCCAAACATGGCAGCAAAAGGATACAGAAAAATCGAACCCTTTGCAACCATCCAGTAGCGGTCTAGATTTCTGCAATCTATATATGGTTGCCCTACCTTGTACAATCATGTATGTTGAAGGCATGGGGAAAGGAGTGAGTGGCAAGGGAGGCAACTGCCTTGAATCTACAGGCACAGGGTCTCCCATGCCACTCACTCCTTTCCCCATGCCTTCAACATATATGATTGTACAAGGTAGGGCAACCATATATTTATGCCATTTCTATATTTATGCCATTTCATGTAGTCACATATGATTCCCACAACTGGAAGTACATTTGCTCTGTACACACTGCAGTCTTTCAGGTATGCGTTTCCTTTTTTTTTTTTTTTTGGTGCCTTTGAGTCAGTCTTGACTCCTGGTGACTACCTGAACTAATCTCTGCAGTTTTCTTGGCAAGGTTTTTCAGAAGTGATTTGCCCTTGCCTGCTTCCTAGGGCTGGGAGAGAGTGACTGGCCCAATATTAACGAATTAACTATTTACTCATAAACACCATACATTTGGGGGGGGGGGAATCATGATGTGATCTTCATATCTGTTATACAATCACCCACCAGTTGAGGTCCATCTGCATAAGGACTGTTATGATCAATAGTCTCCTGAGTTCATAGAGCGTGCCCTTATTTTAATCTGAATTTCTAAGGCGTACGTTCTTGGATTCCCTAAAGGCTTGCTGTTTAGCTAATGAATCTAGATTCACTTTCCCAGGAATCTCAGGTCTGATCCAGCAGAATGCAGCACACAGTGCTATCTCTTTTTTTGCCATGGTTCCAAAGTTCATTTCTCTTCACCTCCTGCTGCTTGAGTTTTGTAATTGCTTTATGCGTGATGAATAAAGAGACCAAAGCTGTCCTTTGCCTTGGGCAAAATAACACAGAAAGTTGGAGTTTTCTTTATGTACTTTGCCAGGTATTTGTTCACTGCTCTGATCTCTCAAACCTGGGAGAGCGATGGGGATTAGGCATAGCACATTCTGGTGTTGGTCATTGCATTGGTTCCCAGAAAATGGGAGATGGGACAATTGACAATTGAAACTTGCCCTGTGCATATGGCAGAAAGAGAGATCTCTTGCCTCTATTTTTTTAAAAGCTGCTAACATGATACGTGTGAAGCAACTAATGGTTATCTTTTCAAAAAGTTCTCATCAGTAGATGGTTTCCTTCCAATGGAGTAGATGGGTACTATCATACATATTTCCACATTTCCTTCTAGGCATTACATACATGGGTTGAAATGTGGGAGAAAAGAAGACAAGAAAGAAGTCTCTTTAATAGTGATATGTCTTCAATGCAGGTAAGTCACTGAGTTCATTTTGGGTGGTCTTGAAAAAACTAAGCAGGGTTAGAACTCATGATCATTTGGATAGAGACCACCAGAAAATCTGAGGTCTGAATGCCACATTGGGAACTTGAAAAAGAAGACAGCATTGGTAAAGTGTTGTCATGAAAACTACATGGCTAAGTTCATGTACTCTTCAGGAGTTGAACTTGACTTGAAAGACCTTTTTATTCTTGTTGATGAAAGTTCTCAATAAAGGATGGGATGGTGTGGGAATGACTTTTTGATAGATAAGCACACCTCAGCAACAGTACAGGCTCTATAATCACTCCTGCCCTATTCTCCCCTACACTCCTTTTTTGTTGGTCTGTTTTTTTGTTCTCACTTTTTAATCATCAAAAAAGCAGCTCGGGCTAGGAGGACACCAGGTGAGGTGCCCCTGAAAGATGGGGGGAGGTATCAGTGGAAACTAAAGTAGGAGGTGGGTCATGATGTGAAGACTTCTGAGAGAGGAGATATGAGACAGGGAACTTCTTTCTTTATTTACCTTAGTCTTGCATCAGTTTCTGAAGCTGTGGATGATGGGCACATTTTATTGTCTGTAGTCTTCAAGCACATTATGGAAAGTTCATATCACATTTCATACTGTATATTATAGTCTGATGATGAACTCCCTTTCCACTCTTTCGTAATGCAGAACATGGAAAGAGCTTTTCATTCATTTTTCATTTTCAAAAAGAAATCAGTTACCGTGTTGGGGCAATAGGTGGCTGTTTCCTCAACCCTCTCGGTATTTTGTATCTCTTGTGCCCTTTGCTGCGTGATTCATATATGCCTTCATGTTATAATGGGCCTCAGCCCTGCTGCTATGGTAGAGACACACAGGGGTGGAGAAATATTGCCCCTTTGTTCTCATCAGGTCAGCGAGACACTTCAGTTTTGATTGAGTCCAGATGTACATTCTTTTTCTCAGACTATTGTAGCAAGTCAAGAGAGTATTTTTAAAGAGGCACCTATAATAACTGGAATCATGCAAAGTAGACAGTGTATTTGACAAGGGAGTTTCCTGTTAGGCAGGATCACTTACTTCTAGCTCAGCCAGAGAAATCAAGAGATTTAAGGGGTCTTTGCTTCACACACAAGAATGCACAAGAATTTCCCTGGGGCCTTGAAGATTCAAGCTTTCAATATATCAGTATCAAACTTTTGTCAGAGCTCTGAAATAGACTATGGCAGCATGCTACTGCCTCCCCTTCCTCATAACTGTGTGTATAATGTAAATAGTCTACATGTTTGGAAAGAAAAGAAATATCTCACCATCTCTCTCCTACTCCAGTTAACATATTCTGAATGTGTGGAGCGCTGCCTCTTGGGGTCCAAGAATGCTTTCCTGGTATTACATACTTTCCTGGAAGGAAATTAGATGTCCCTGTGATAAAAAATGATTTGAGATCTAAGAATACTGTAGTGGATTTAAGAATAAAAATGTGACAATTCTATAGTAATAGTTTTGACCTGTTTTTTTAAATAGTCCCAGAAAAATTAATCAGACCAGAGTCTTGAACAGTGCTTTGAGTTCTGCCCTCACTTGTGGCATTACCCTGGATATGTTCTCAGTAATATTCAGAGTTACTTTTTTTCCTGTTTTGCTGTTCCATTAAGAGGATTGGTGTCATCTTACTCTTGGAAATATAGTACTTACCTGGCAGGGTTGATACCTTGATCACAAAGTATACCACTAAGTCAACTAGTCCTAGTTTTCTGAGATTTAAAATTTAACCCGAGATTTAAGTAGCACCTGTCGACACACCTGTATAAATGTTGTACTCAGATTGATTCATCTCATTATCTGATTGTAGAAGCTGCTGAAATTTTGCAGGAGCAGATTTATTTATTTATTTAAACTTAGTGGCTGTCCAACTCCAGTGGACTCTGGGCGGTGTACAGAACTAAAAAAACATAAGAACAGTTAGAAACAGGCAACCCAGACTAAAATACTCTGCTAACAAAACCCACGAAACAAAACAGGGGGCATTAAACAATGACAAACATCAACCCCAGGCCTGGGACCACAGCCAGGTTTTCAAGGCTTTCTGGAACCCCAGGAGAGAGGCACCATCCTTATCTTTGGGGAGATGCTGTTCCAGAGGGTGGAGACCCTGACAGAGAAGGCCCGCTTCCTAGGTCCCACAAGGTGACGGTCTTTAATGAGGGACCTGGAACTCACCCACTCTGCTGGGACGCACTGGGTAGGCAGAAACTTTTGGAAATAAGCAGTCTGTCAGGTATCCAGGCCCTATGCCATACACATACAGATGTGGTGCAAGGTGAAATAACTGGAAACCCTTGGGAAGTTCTTACTTCCTTTTTTTGCCCCAACATCTCAGAGATACATAAATCAAATTTAAATAGGAGCTAGTAACTTAAATGTTTACATTAATATTAAATCTTATGTAAAATATACTACAAATTGGTGAGTATCATCACCTATTCTATTATAGAACCATAGAACTATGAGTCTAAAAATCAGAATTAAGTACCTTGCTTGGTATGGTGATTGAGCCTTAAATCTTTTGGTTTTCCAATTATTTCCCACATTGTTCATTAAAAGTAAGGCTATCTGGGCTGCAACGATCTGGATTATCATTAGATAGCAGCAAAATACAGAAAATTCTTTGCTCCCGTCTAGTGGTTATCTGGATTTTTGTAGCCCCGATATGGTAGTCCCTATTAAAAGAGTACAGTGTTTGATGAAGACATTGTTTAGGTGACAACAAATTCCATAAGATAATCTGAGTGTTAATACACAGCAAATATCAGAGGCTAATCTTGTTTTAAACATTAATTTAGAATATGAAAAAAAAAACCCAGGAACTATTATCCACTGAAATACCACAATGTTCCACTTATAGCTAAAATGCTTACCTAGGAAATAACTAAATGTTATTCTTATGAGACAACTAGTGGTTTACAGATTAATTTAAATTGCAGCCATTCAAATGCCTAGGTCTGCTTTCTGACAAACTAGCCATGTCAGCCTTGCCCCATTCAAGATATTCAATTTATTTCCCAACAATAATTGGCTGAAAGTGTCTGTACAGACTGAAATTATTATTTATTTTTATACTTTTACTTGTTATTATTTCATTATTATTTGTTACTTATTTTATTTTTATACTTTTACCCCTTTTTCTACCAAAGAAGCACAAAGCAACATATAAAATTATCAATAAAAATTATTAAATGAAGCTATACAAACACTGAACGTAACATGTCAATAAAAAGAATAAGAATACAACAATTAAAATAAAGTGTAGGAAAAAGCAGAATTGCAGGGAGGTGATCTCTGGTATGCTTTAACAGAGAACTTATCAGGCATGACCATTTGGAGAAAAAAGGTTGTCCTTGCAGAAATCGTTGCCCAACTGCAAGAGAAGAGAGAAATGGAACTATATTAACATCCTGTAGAAGTTGGTGGGTTTATCCCAGAGTGTGGCCCCCTAGGCAACATTTTTATTCTAATCTAATACATTCTGGGGAGAGATGTATTTCTTGTAGAAGGCATTAGATGTAGTCTGTGATACAAGTACTGACTGGAATCTGGATATGCGATACTTTTTGCACATAAGATGATCTGGACTACCAGGATTGCTTAATAGAAATACTTGAAATGAGTGTCATAAGAGAACATAGATTTTGAATATAGCACACACAGCAGCTTAGCCATAACATATGGTTATAATAATAGGCTTGGAACTGAACAACCTGGTTGTTGTACAGCCTGAGATCCTTACCAGCAACATCAGTGTAATGGCGCACCATTTTACAATCATCGAGGGCAATTACACAATAAAGCAGAAAGTCTCACTTTATTCAGGCAAGTGAGCACAGGACTGCTACTTGAGTGAAAAGCTATTTCATTCTCTGTAAGAATCCTATAAAAAGATTCAGGCATTCTAGCTTCGGGGAAACTACAATCCCGATCACTTGGGGGGGGAACAGGAATTCAATTTCCCACCTCTCCAAGCAACAGTGTGGAGGGTTTTGAGAACTGGCATTGTGTATGAATAGGCTGTGCATGCATGCATGCACGCACATGCAGCCCATCAGGCAGCGACACATCTGGCCTCAGGGCTGAAGCAGTTGCCAGCCCTTACTCTCACAGATGCTAAGACAATGTGTTTACATCAATGTGCTAAGACAATGTGTTTACACATCAAGCCACACTACACAAAAAGTTTAGAATTATGAGTCACTAGTATCCAATGTGGTTTTACTAGATTGGTATTTGTTTTCCCCCTCCAAAGGACAACCCGCCATCTCCATCTCAGACTGCAAGCATTTTGGGATGGAACTCTATCCAATCATTGTTTTCAAAGCCCTTCACCGCTTGCGGAGACATGTAGCAACAAAGTGAATGGTCCCAGAAGATACAGTGTCCTCCTTGTGTATAAAGGGATTCCTCTTGGGTTTTTTTTTTTTTTTGCCTTGGGAGATGACATACTCTGGATAAAATGTCTCCAGGTCATGCTACTATGGCTGGGAACTAATATGCACACTGTAACTAGAAGTCACTGGAAAACCTGCTCAATCCTCAACACTTGTCGTTTATTATTATTGAGTTTTTACATGTAATACAACTGATGTACAATTTGTTCTATACCTCCTGTTCTATAATATATTTGCAACACCCATTAAGGTAGATTTGGCTCTATGTTGCACAGTGATGGGGCTACTGGATCTGGGTGCAAAGATCTGGAAGACAGCTTGATGGCAGCAAGGAAGACATACACAGCTCTAATGCTCTGCTATCATCATGCATGTAAGTATCTTTTCTGAAAGTTATATGTTGCTGAATCTCCTGGAAGGGTCCAAGTGGCTAACAAATTAAATTAAAAATACAATTTAAAAATTACGTAAAAACTTAAACATTATAACACAAACCAGACAATAACAACACTTTTCTCTTCATCATTCCACCGAGAAGTACCTTTCTTATAACAGGAGGGTCCTATTGCAGGGTGAGGACCCACCATACTTCCAGTTCCCACTTTCTGAAAAGCCAGGTCTTACTGGCTTTCCTAAATGCCAGCAGGGTTAGTGTTGATCTGACCTCAGGTAGAGTGGTGTTTGAAAGGACAGGGGCAACAAAAGAAAGGCATGCTGTTGTGATCTCAAACCGTAACAGTCCTTCAAAATGGAATTTGAAAAGCATCCTCTGTTTTGGATAGGCAGAAACTTCTGGGAGAAAGAAGTCCCACAGATATCTATGTCCCAAGCTATATAGCATTAAGACTTATGGGGGAGGACATGGCAGATTGAAGACCTGTCTGCACTTCGCAGACATGACATTGAACGTTAACTGACAGCCAGGGGGATTTGACCTCTGAGTAAGCAGAGTTTCCTTGGATCAAGAGGAAGCCTGGAGATTGCGCATCTGCTTCTATAAAAGGGTGGCTCCTCAGAATTTTGGGGAAATCTGAAGGGATCTCAATAATATTGTTCAAGTTGAGCCCTCTAGGAAGTGTGGGAAACATCAAGCTCAGTGGTTCAAAAGGAGACTTCTAATAGCTGAAAGCCTCTCGTTGCTCTTTTCTAAACTACTAAAATTAATGTATTATGGATCAGCTTTGGTTCTGTCTTCAAGGACAGCCCCATGTAGAGTGAGTCCAATCAAGGGTTCCAATCAAAATGTGACCAGGCCATGAGTGACTATGAGCATTGGCTCCTGATCCAGGTGTGGATATAACTGGTGTACAAGATGGAGATGTACAAAGGCCCTCCTAACTGCAACAGCCACCTGCTGCTTGAACAAGAGCTAGGAATCTAGGAGGCCTCCAAGTTATGAACCCGTTCCCACCAGGGGAATGTGACCCCATCCAGAACCAAAGATGAAATAACACTGATATCCATTGGTTTCCAAACCCATATCCACTCCATCTTACTGGGATTGAACCTGAGTTTGTTCTTCCCCATCCAGATTTCACCACTTCCAGGCACAATGATAAAATCTTGCCCACATTTGCTGTTTGGCCCATTTTCAAGATATACAGTTGGGTATCATTAGCTTATTTATTTATTTATACTATTTATATAGCAGCCTGACTGAACAATGTAACTCTGGGCAGCCTACAGTAAACCAATAAACAAAAATATAAAAAATGAAATAAACAATACCAGGTAAAAATAAAAACAAAATTTAATTGGTGATCAGGAACTCATTGAATTCCTCCAGATGGAAACTCTAATCATTCTGACCCAAATGCCCAAAGAAACAGCCAGGTTTTCATTGCATTTCTAAAGGCCTGCGTGGTTGGATATGTTGGGAGGGAGATCCTCTGGAATGTCCTCCAGCATCCACAGAAGAGGCTTTGCTGGGAGCCTGGTGTTCACATGCTAATAAAATTATGTTGTATCTTCAAAGTGATTTGGTTGCTTCAGGCTGGGATATGGCACCAAGACCACATTGGTGCCACAACAGGTTTTGGCCACAACAGGGGTTTAGGCTTAACCTCTCTCCTCTAATTATCACTGACTGAAACCATCCCTGGAGGAAACAGGAGAACAACTGTAATACGGTATCCCTGATTTCCATCTCCAGAAGCAGTCAAGAAGGATGTCCTGATTGATGGTATTGAAGGCAAGTGAGTGATCAGGTAGGATCAGGTGGGTCACACTCCATCCTGCTTATACCATAGGTCATCCTCAAGAGTGATCAATGTGGTCTTGGTGCCATATCCCAGCCTGAATCCAGACTGGAACAGATCCAGATAATTCATCTCCTCCAGGGCCCTCTGAAATTACAGGTCCACCACCTTCTCAACAACCTACCCTAGAAAGGGGAGATTGGAAGGGGTTGTCTGGATTTAGCAATCCATATATGATAGCCTTGTACAATGAGCTTCCTAGCTGAAATAAGATTGAATTTGAATTCAGGTCACCCAGTTCTAGTATCCTAATTTTAGTCCCACATTTTAAGCATTGCAATACATTGGTTTTCTCTGAACTTCTTAAAGTTATACCCACAAAGTGTATGTTTATGTCATACATGCATACATCAAGTGGTTATAACAGTAGAGATTACTAGCAAAACCTCTCTCCTAATCCCCCTATAATTTGTTGATTTAGAGAAGTTTTAATTTGATTTTCACTAGAGGAGGAAAGAAATTCAGTTCAGCTACACTAGATCTCCACATACCCATGGGCAGTGGAAAAAAGTCATTTTTATGTCATTTAAATCATCATTATCCAACAAGAAAGATCAGCATTTCTTTCTCTCTTTCTCTCTCCTAAAGACTTTTTATAGTGTTTTTTTTTAAATGAGAAACATGTGAGAAGATTAGTTCCTCAAATCTTCTCCAATTTCAGGATATTGATTTTTATTCTTCCTTCCTTTTAAATCTGTTTGTTTGTTAACAGGCTGATTGTAGGAAAGCAAAGTCCAATGGGGAGCTTCCAGACAGCAGTTTCACTGTCTTTGCAAATCACAAGTTATTGTGTGGCTATTCTGCCCTTTCTTACTTAATGGATTTTTTCTGAGAATGGAAAATATCAGAAGTAGTGGCCATGTTACAAATGAGCAGGGTGTCATCATACTCACTGAAAACAATAGAGTGAAGGCATAGTACCCAAAACCTTTAATGTGGATGTCTCTCTTGACCAGCATTACTAGATCTGTAAGAGGCCACCTGACCACTAGAGGGCACTGGCAGTAAAAGGATGCAGAAGATTCTAACTCTTTGCCACCATCCAGTGGCCTCCTTGAATTTTACACACCATACTTGACCTTTCCTTGGGAGCATCCTTGGAAGACTCCTCTCCATTATTCCAGTTCAAGGGCTGCCCTGGTTTTGCCACATTACACTGGAAGGGCTGCTGCTCCAACAATGTCTGCACAGGTCCAATATCTCTTGAGCTCATTCTCCTTGATAGCAAGAGACAGCCAAATGCCCCAGGCCCAACTGTTCCGAGGACAGAGAGGAGTGCACAGCAGTGTGCAAAACTTGATTTGTTGCAGCCAGCATCTCGGGGGGGGGGGGGGTCAAACTAAGTACTAAACCCAGGAATGCGAACAATTTCAGCCTGCGAGTCCTGGAGGCTCAGAGGGGGAAGTGAAGGAAGGTGGGGTGAGCGTTACAGCAGCCTTGGCTTGTAACAGTTATGGCTATAGAGACCAGTGTGGTGTTGCAATAGGGCCTGTGTCAATATTGTGACTGGCTTTCCCTTGGAACTGGATAAAGGAATATTTTATCCCATTTTATAAAGAAAGCTGCTTTCCTGGTTGCTCCTTGAGACAAATTCTTTGAGGGATTTAATAGAAGATTAAAAAAAAAAGCAAAAGCAGACTGAATTTCCAGATATGAAAAGAGAAATAAAAATAGGGCACTAGCTCCCCAAATCCCACTTTGGATGTTCCTTAAGGAATCAGAAATCCCATTTCATCCTCTTCTTTTCCAACAAAACCAAACCCTAAATGCACAATGTCATTAAGCAAGTACTATTTCCAAAGCCAACTCCTCTTTTCAGAAATGGTGGTGGCCAATACTGAGATCTGAGCAGGTTCAGAGTGCATTTCCTTTGTAAAAACAAGCTGCTTCTGGATTATAGATTGAACCAAAGAAAGGGTCTCTCCACCCACTGTGCTATCACTGATGGTTTGGAAGCATTTACCTTTGCACAAAATTTCTCAGTGTTCCCAGTGAAATTGCCAGGTTTAAGAGGATTCCCATAATACCAGTATCTCTCCTCCGTTGCATAGCTCTGAATGAGCCCTCTGTTTAAAAAAGAAAATAAAAAGATACCTCTTTTTTTCCTTCCTTGTATTGTTTGATTAAAAAAATAAATTTCACTGTTGAAGCAAGACTTGTACAACTTCTTTGGCCTATTTGTGCTTGATCTTGGGCACTGGCACACCTGGAATCCTTTACATCAGGGGAAAAGACTGTAGGAAGACTCCAATTTGCTGAGATTACTATCTGTGTTTAATTTTAGCAATACACTGTTTCTATCATCCCCCTTTCACCTAAACAGGAAGCTGCCTTCCTAAACAACTTGCCTTGACAAGTTTTGTTCTCCAGGAGACCTCAAAGGGCATTCTGGACAAATAGTGGTGCAGGTGGCAGAGCCTCTTCTTTGTCCCATTAGGATTCTCAATCCCTTTTCAAAATGTTATATTCAGCATGGATGGGCTATGTATCTTAATATGGGCTAGGTATCTTAATATGAATCTTGATCATTTTAGAATGTTTTGCAGGCTGAAACTGGCTATATTAGATGCTGCTTTTCAGCTGCCTTCAGATGAACTTGTCCTGCAATTTAAAAAGGATTAAAATAATGGGGAGAAGTGAGGAGGAGCACAGTTTTACTGCAGATTCTGCTGTTAATTTTCATAGTGGAAATGTTTGATTGGTAGACTTGGCCTTGGCCTATGAATTCAGTGAGCAAAGATAGCGCTACTTTTAGGTAAGGTGGAGATGACTCTCCCGGGGACAGTGGTTGTAGAATGACTGAAGAGCAGCAAATGTCCGTAACTGAATCCATTACAGTGGTACCTCGGTTCATGAACTTAATTCGTTCCACGATTCTGGTCGTGATCCAAATTGGTCACGAACTGAATCAAATTTCTCCATAAGGTTCAATGTAAATAAGGTTAATTCTTTCTGACCCCTACAAACGTGGTCACCAGCTGATTTGGTCACCAGCTGAATCAAATTTTCCCATAAGGTTCAATGTAAATAAGGTTAATCCATTCTGAACCATATGTTGTTGTTTTTTTAACCACAAAAATATGAAACAAAGTACAGGTGATCTCACCTAGAGGAAGCCATGACCATGTGTCAGAGCAGGGAAGATGACCACGGGTCGTGTTCGTCACCCGATGCGGAGTTCACGAACGGAAGCAAAATTTTGCAAACGCTGCTGTTCGCGAACCGAATTGTTCGTGAACAGAAGCGTTTGTGAACCAAGGTATTACTGTACTGTATTTTTTATTGTAATATGGGGAAAGCTTAGATTTTCTGCTTCAGATATCAAAATGCCTTCAACTGTCTCCATCAGTCTTACTCTTTAAGTTATAAAATTCTTGCCTCACAGGATTTGGAGCAAAGGAAGAATGTTCATACTAACAGTGAAAAAATACACATTTTCCCCATCTGGATTTACAGCCTTCTGTTGAGGCAACTGGCCAGGAGGATTCCAGACTCTGAAAATATACAGGATACTTACGTCAAACTTTAATGATTTTTTTAAAAATGTATTTTCAACAGAGGTAGTAGAAAAACTGCACAATTTTATGATTGCCAAAATTTAAACTTGATTTAAGTTTAAATAAATAAGCCAATATGCAAAATTTAGACACTGGAAATTTCTTCCTCGCTTAATTTTAAATATTCTCATCTGATAGCTGTTAAACATAATTCAGCAGAGTCAGTAAAAAAAGAAAGATAGAAACTCTGTTTATTTAGGGGGATTTTCAGACCACTGCTTACAGTCCCATGCTGATCTTTGCAACATTCTTTTCCAACCCAATCTTCTTTCACTTGTCAAAATCTCTGTCTTTATTATACAGCTAGGAAGCTGACCAAGGATAATGGAAATTGGTCAAGTTATAAGTAAAGTAATTCATTGACAAAAGAAACTATCAATGTCCTTGTTACAAATGCATTTATTTGAAAATAACGTTGATACAAATAGAAATGAAGATTTAGACCAACAAGAACATTTCAGAGCTTACAGGCTAGGTCTGAAAGTCTACTGAGAGATGGAGAAGTAATCAAATTTAGATGAAGCAGCTCTTAATCCCAGCTTCAAACCTAACTGAATAGGAATTTTTTTGTGCAGACTTTCTAACATTACATCAGGTCAGTCTTATGATTTGTGGCAAAGCTAAGAATAGCACCCACATTGTCTGAATGCCAAGCTAGCCCTCTATAACACTGTCCCACCCTTCTCTGACCACTGATTCTTGATAAGCAGCCTGCCTGCACAACTATATGGCCCCTTGGCTTCAGGACAATATCCTGGTGACTTTGGCCTTAGTTGCTTATTATCAAATAACCCTTCCTTTCTCTTCTCTTCTTGGTTCTGTCGCTGGGTTCCAGAAATATTTCTCATAACCTACCCTGCAAAATCTTCAGCAAAATAACAGCTTACTCTGAGCGCCTGTTAAGTCAAAGAAGTTAGTAACAAATGGCCATAATGTTCTTTTATTGGGGCCAGAAAGTCTGAAAGGAAGAAATAAGTTCAGAGGTGATGATGGAAGAGAGTAAGGATATGAGATTTGCAAAGAGTTTTTTTCTTATCTCAGGAGACTTATGTAAAGAATCTGACTAACCACAGCATTTTGGAGCCCTTTGGGAGCAATGTCCTCTGCATGCAAGATTTGTATTCTCCAGCGGGCAGCCTGGAGAAATTCAGAAGAGGAGTCGCCATGTCCAATTCTGTATTAGCACACATTCAAACATATTTCAGAGATGAAAACAAAGGCTGACAAAGTCCCATTCTGGCTGAGTTTCATATTTAAAATCTACTATGAGGTCATTTTTCCACCAGTGCTTTATGGTATCTTTTAGAGTCATCCAATTGTTGTGCCAAAAAATAGCAGTAATGAGGACGGACTTTATGATGTTATGAAGCAACCATAAGACACTGGTGGGGAAATAGCACAAGTTGGTTGAGATGGCTGCTCCTTTTTTGCTTCTCTCTGATCATGTCCTAACCATATTCTCTTTGCAAATAGATGAGACTGCCTGTTTACTACTTCCTTACTTATTCTCATCTATCCAGGTAAATTGAGCCTTCTCCCGCCCACAGATGGAGGAAAAGCTGTCAGTCAAAATCACCCGTTGTTCTTATTAGCGGTCTAGTCATTTTTCTTCTTCCTGGTTGTATATTCCTAGTTGTTTCTGTCTATTCCTAGGGTCCCTTGCCAATTTATTCAACCTAAGACTGCTGGGAACCTTGAATGAAACCCATCTTGTTCTCTATATGGTAGCTTATTTCAGTATGTAACAGATCTAGCTAGAACACCTTTCTGGTCCTGTATAAGGTTTTATTTTCTTTTATACCTCAAAACCTCCTCTCTTCACTTTTTATATATTTTTTTAAAAATTATCATAATTGAGCTAGTGGGTTGAGGTAGATTTTTATGTACCTTTAAAGAATTGTTCTCCCACACACCAAGATTGCATAGAAATCTTTTTCTGTGCTTAGTTAAGTTTGCCTAAGAGCAGGCTGGATTGTTCTTTCATTCTCAGTCAGTTTAGTTATCTTGCAGTTTGGGAGACTCATCTGCCCCAGGATCAGAGGAAAGGGGGTGTGCAGAATTCCTCACTATTTAAATCTCCTGTCATATTTTTCAAGGAGGTTAGACAATGGAGGGAAAGGGACTGCGCCTCTGCCATGACAGGAACATTGCTGAGGTATCCACGTGTACTGTTTTATTACATTGGAGGGTATCTTTCTATTTGAAGAGCAGTCTAGGTTAAAGGTTAAGGAAAACAAAGGCCTTGAAGTTGCCCACCAATACTTTGCTTCTAGATAATAGGTTGAGCAAGCAATGCTACTCCCTTGGTCAGTGTTCCCTCTGGTGAATTATTAGAATTAGAATTATTAGAATTAGAATGTTGTATATGTCATCAATCTCATATAGATTCATGGTATCTTAGAAACAAAAATTTAAAAATCCATGGTACAGTATCCCTATAACAATCAAACGTCCACAGTAAGTATAAGCAATAAAACTACCATAACCAAACATTAAAGGATCCATGGTAAACTCTAACAAAAATCAATCAGTACTTTTAAATAGCATAATTAATTAAAATAACTGTAACGCTCTATAATCACATAAGAAGCTCCAATTCACCATCAGCAAGCAACAGTCAGCCACTGAAGGCCCTCCAGAATAATTTGGCCCTTAATGTTTTCCAGGGGACCATCATGATATGGCTGAATATGACATTGAAAAGGAGGTCATTCCATGATGTCAGAGTCATGACCCAAAGAACAGCCTCCTGAATTCAGTTCTTATTTTGTAGAAATGTAAGCTCAATAAATGTACGGAATAGGTTGGCAGTTTTTGGAGAAGATGGTCCTGAGGGTACCTTGGTGTCAAGCCATGTAGGGCTTTGTGGATCAAAGCCAGCACCGTGCATTGCATTCAGAAACCTATTAGCAATCAATGCAGGACCTTAAGCATAGCTGTAATATGCTGCTGGTTGTTAGCACCGGCCAGCAATCAGGTTGTTGTATTTTATACCAGTTATAACTTCTGGGTGGTCTTCAAACAGAGCCCCATTGTAGTACTCGACTTGTTCGGTGGTGAGGGCATGAGGTCCTGTCACAAGGGTTTCACAATCCAGTAAGGGCCAAAGCTGGGCAAAGGCTCTCTCACCACTGCCTCCATCTGCTTGTCCTTAATGCTCAGCTATCTCCGGATTCAGGGATAGCAGCAGCAAGCAAAGTATTTGCCAGTTATATCTAGAATGCCAGGCATTCATTCATTCATTCATTCATTCATTCATTCATTCATTCATTCATTCACCAAAAGTATATGCCACCCACCTCACTATCAGTGAGATTCCTGCACTGATCAGATCTGACAACAGCTATCTAAGCCTTGGTTACATCCTGATTTGACTATCACAATGCATTCTATATGGGGTGAGCATAGGGGAGTGTCAAGAAACTTCAGCTGGTACAAGATGTGGCAGCCAGACTGCTAACTGACATGCAATGCTCCAAGAATATTATGTACATGTTGAGAAAAACTGCACCAGTTCTCAGTTCTTCTCCAGACATAATTTAAAATGTTGGGTTTTACTTTTGAAGTCCTAAATAGCTTCATATAGTCCTAAATGGGATCTGTCTATCTGAATGGCCTCCTATCATGATATAAACATAACTGAAGCTTCAGAATCTTAACAAGGCCTTCAGTTTCCAAAGGCTGTTTACTGGACACATGGGAGAGGACCTTCTTGTTACTCCCAAGCAATGGAATGTGCTTCCTCAGGAGTTGCACTCAGTCCCCGCCTTTTTTGCTTTCAGGAAAATTGCCATGATTTTCTTCTTTAGTCAATCTTCATCAGTTTAAAGTAGTTAGTGGTGACTTCTGTTTTTAATCAGATTTTCAGTGTTTACTTTTTATTTTTTATAATTATTACTGTCAGCTGCCTTGAATGTCTCCTGCACAGAAAGGTAGGATAGAAATTCCATAAATAAACAAATAATCGAAGTTACAGCCCTTAAAAGAATGAAAGACATTCGCAAAGCTAACTGGAAAAAAAAATGAGAAGATCACCACCTGGTCCCAAAATGATTTCAAGGAAGACAAAAGGACAAGCTCCCAAGAAGGGTATTTTTCAAAAAGCAAGACAAAATGAAAAAATCAGGATTGAGTGCCAGAAGACAAAAAAAAATGTTCTGAGTGCTTTTTAGAGTAGAAAATAGGGATAAATATGTTTGAAAACCAAATAAATAACCCATCTCTCTGATTGTCCCATATCTTCACTAAAATGGAAAAAGCAATACCAAGAATTATAATGGGAGCTGTGCCAATGGCAGCAGAGGTCCTGAATCTGGTTCAGGTATGTGATGTTCAGGCACATGACATCTATCTAAGGCCATGGAACAAGTCATGAGAGATATGAACCAGAGAATTGGCAGAATTTGGTGAAATCTGGCTTCTGTGGACCACTGCCCAAGCCCACCAGCATTATCTCAGAAGATAGGTTCATGCAGTGATTCTTTAGATAGCATATTAAAAAGCAGCGACGTCACCTTGCTGACAAAGATCCGCATAGTCAAAGCTATGGTTTTCCCAGTAGTAATGTGTGTCTGTGAGAGTTTGACTATAAAGTA